ATAAGAACATCAGAAGAGCCCTGCTGGATCAGGCCAGTGGTCCATCTAGTCAACCATCCTGTCTCACACCGTGTCCAACCAGTTCCTCCGGAGGGCCAACAACAGGGCAGAGAGGTTGAGACCTGGCTCCTGACTCTGGGATTCAGACTTATCCTCCATAAGGACGTCAGAAGAGCCCTGCTGGATAAGAACAATATTCCGTCTAGTCCAGCATCCTGTCTCACACAGTGGCCAGCCAGTTCCTCCGGAGGGACAACAACAAGCAATAGAGGCCGAGGCCTTCCCCTGAGGTAGCCTCCTGGCTCCGGGACTCAGAAGATTAGTGCTTCTGAACGTGGAGGTTCCCCTCAGTCACTATGGCTAGTTTGCCACTGATAGATTCATCCTCCACTGATCGACTTACTAAATGCACGGAACTGATGGGCCCCAATAAATATGCCAGGGATCCCAAAAAAAAACCTTTTTGAGCCTTGCAGGCACCTTTGGAATTCTGAGAAGCCGTGGTGGGCACAGTTGCAAAACGGCTGCCACAGCTTCCCTTGTGAAGATCCTTGTGGTTGTGGATGTGAAGATCCTTGTGGTTGTGGATGTGAAGATCCTTGTGGTTGTGGCAGCTGCCGCCGAAGCGATCTTCTTAAAAAATCTGCACAGCCAATCAAATCTCCCGTGGCCCATCGGCAGCCTGGCTGGGCAAAAGACCCCTCCGCCCCCCCATGTTGTAAAAACATTCTGTGGACACCCAAGATAACCCGCGTGGGGAGGGACCCCTGAAATAAACGTTTCCGGTGTGGTTTCAGGTTCCTGCTCAGCCACGAGGTGGAAGAAGATTTGTCAAGGTGTCAAATATACGTTTGCTTCTGACCTGGCATGGAATGGACCGAACTGTTCTTTGCTTTCCGGAGCATGAGTGAATGTGTCAGCTCCTTAACTTTCCAGCGAACCAAAACCATTTGGGTGCCGGAACGCAAGCGACTGTTAATGCGTGATTGTTCTATGTCCGAGGCACGCCAAGCCCGCTTGGTAAACATTTTGCACGCATGCTATCCTAGGAGGAACAGCTGAGTCAGCTCACTGAAGGTAGGCAACTAGGTCCTGCCAATCCTTAAGGCTGGAACGAGAAAACCTAACGGATACGGATTTGGAAGCTGGGCCAGCCGAAGTTATGACAACGAGCACAACCCAGCCAAGATGAAGTGTTTTTAATGGAGGTGTTACCAAACATATGGGAAAGGGTGCTCTGGTAGACATCTTGGGCCAGATCCTCCAGTGGAACGGGTGGTTTTACTTCCCAGAGGAGTGTGGCGCTATGGCATGTCCGTCATATCCAGCCGGGCTGTTCTGCTAGCACAAGGCTGTTGTACAAAGCATTGCACAAGCCATTCCTAGGTTCTGCGCAATGAAGTGGACTTGTAGGCAATGCTCCCGCTAAGCTGTGGAGTCCCGTGAGCAAAAAAAATTTACTTTGTGAGCTGCCGACATTAAAGTTGTGAGCAAGCCAGGCACCTTTGGAATTCTGAGAAGCCGTGGTGGGCACAGTTGCAAAACGGCTGCCACAGCTTCCCTTGTGAAGATCCTTGTGGTTGTGGATGTGAAGATCCTTGTGGTTGTGGCAGCTGCCGCCGAAGCGATCTTCTTAAAAAATCTGCACAGCCAATCAAATCTCCCGTGGCCCATCGGCAGCCTTGCTGGGCAAAAGACCCCTCCGCCCCCCCATGTTGTAAAAACATTCGGTGGGCACCCATGATCACCACGTTGGGGACCCCTGAAATAAGCTTTTCCAGTGTGGTTTCAGGTCCCTGCTCAGCCATGAGGTGGAAGAAGATTTGTCAAGGTGTCAAATATACGTTTGCTTCTGACCTGGCATGGAACGGACCGAACTGTTCTTTGCTTTCCGGCGCATGAGTGAATGTGTAAGCAGCTCCTTAACTTTCCAGTGAACCAAAACCATTTGGGTGCCGGAACGCAAGCGACTGTTAATGCGTGATTGTTCTATGTCCGAGGCACGCCAAGCCCGCTTGGTAAACATTTTGCACGCATGCTATCCTAGGAAGAACAGCTGAGTCAGCTCACTGAAAGTAGGAAACTAGGTTCTGCTTATCATTAAGGCTGGAACGAGAAAACCTAACGGATACGGATTTGGAAGCTGGGCCAGCCGAAGTTATGACAACGAGCACAACCCAGCCAAGATGAAGTGTTTTTAATGGAGGTGTTACCAAACATATGGGAAAGGGTGTTCTGGTAGACATCTTGGGCCAGATCCTACAGTGGAACGGGTGGTTTTCCTTCCCAGAGGAGTGTGGCGCTATGGCATGTCCGTAATATCCAGCCGGGCTCTTCTGCTAGCACAAGGCTGTTGTACAAAGCATTGCACAAGCCATTTCTAGGTTTTGCACAAAGACCTGCGCAATGAAGTGGACTTGTAGGCACTTCCTTCCTGAGCTGAGACAAAAATGTGTGAGCTGGAGGCTAAAAAACTGTGAGCTAGCTCACACTAACTCAGCTTAGACGGAACACTGCTCACAGGGTGCCTGTTGTGGGGAGGGGAAGGGAAAGGAGTTTGTAAGCCGTTCTGAGACTCCTTTGGGTAGTGAAGGGCGGTGTAGAAATCTAATCTCTTCTCTTCTCTCTTCTTAGAGGGACACACTACTTGTAGGATTCTGAGGCGCATCAAGCTGGCCACTGGGAAACGGGATGCTTGATTACAGCAGGGGTCCCAAACACGGTTCCCGCGGGCCCCACGACGCATGCCAACACCCTTCCTGGTGCTCGCCAACTGTTCCTAGACAGTGGGGGGGGGGCACATGAGGCTTTTGCCCAGCAAGATTTCTGATCTGGAGATTTGACTGGCGGTGCAGATTTTTTTAAAAAGGTCACTTTGGCAGCCGCTGCCACCGCAGCACAACGATCTTCACCGTGTGACTGAAGGTCAGCTGTGGCGGCCACCGTGCTGGGGTCAGAATCCCGAAAGGCTGGGGGCCCTGACCTGGGTAGCCCAGGCAAGCCCGATCTCGTCAGGTCTTGGAAGCTAAGCGGGGCCGGCCCCGACGAGAATTTGGATGGGAGACCTCCAAGGAATACCATGGCTGGGACGCAAAGGCAGGCAGTAGCAAGCCACCTCTCTGAAAACCTCCTAGCCCCACTCGGGGTCGGCAGACGTCTATCATGACTTCCGGGCACACACGTACAAAAAATAGCCCCCCCCCAAGGACGGGGGACCGCTGCATTAGAGAAACGATGGGCCTCCTCTTCTTTATAAGTCCTGTTGGTTTCAACGAGTGTTCTAGCCCTGCGGTCAGATCTCTCCTCTTGAAACAGCCAAGGCTGGATCATGCAGGATGGCGGAAAGTGTGTCAGGACCCACAGCTAAACAACGAAGTACACGCTCCCAGGAAGGTTTTACTTTTATCGAAAAGTCATAGATGCAATAAGAAGAACACTGTTAGGAATGGCGGGTTACCTATGCGCATAATACGATATAGGGCATTCGTATGCGCCCCCCCCAGAGCAAGGACCAATCAGGAAGGCTCCCGCGCGCGGGACCTTGCAGGACCCTCTAACGGCTGCTTAGCTGGGAACGAAGAAGCTCCCATGGACGATAGACACCACGTACTTCACACCAGTACAACATCAAGATAAGCGTTGCAGCTCTGAAGCAATGAAGCGCATGGGAAGGAATGCAAAGGAAATACAAAACGTCTCCACACTCATGGCAGCATAGCTGACATAGTGCCGTTAAGTCACGGCCAATTTATGCCCCCCCCCAGTGGGGTTTTCAAAGCAAGGGTTGTTCAGAGGGGCTTTGCCATTGCCTGTCTCTGCGTCTCGGCCCTGGTATTTCCTTGGGGGTCTCCCATCCAAATATCAACCAGGGGTAACCCTGCTTAGCTTCCGAGATCTCACGAGATCCAGCAATCTTGGCCTAGCCACGGCAGGGCAGATATCTTTAAAAACCACGAGGGGCTAGGAACCGCAAGGCCCTGCCAAAATATCTCGGTGTCCCCAGATGCTTTGCAAGCTGGCCCGGTCCTCTCCCCACATCACATTTTTGCCTTTGAGTTCCGACCCGCCAGAGTCTCTCCTTACCAGGTGAGCTGGATGCCATACTCTTAAGAAGCCTTTCACCGTCTTGCAGGACGCCTTCTGTCAGCGCTTGGTGTCCGGCTAGGTCTTTTTTAAATGCCTGCCAAAACAACAACGCATTTGAACACCTTCAGGTATGACACACAAAGCATTTCTAGACTCGGTGCCTCCAAAATTCAGTTGCAGTCCCAGGAGATATCTGGATGAATTGATGTTAGGGTTCCCAGCCCCCCGTCGGGAGTGGGGGATCCCCCACTTTTGTGGGCTCCTCCCACCACCAGCCAATTGGCTAGTGGGAGGAAACCCCCTCCAACAGCACATGGAGCGATGTGCCTACGTCACCCAGAAGTGACATAGGCACGTTGGTAATGTCAGGGGGGGGGTGCCACTCTGGTTTGGGGGCAAAACTCTATGGTTTGAGGCCGATTTTACCATAGAGTTTTGCCCCAAAACCAGAGCGTCACCCCCAACATGACTACATCACTTCTGAGTGTGACGTAGGCACAGCGTGCAACACCACTTCTGTTGATGTTGGCACATCACAGGTGATGCTTCTGGCTCCTGGAGTGCCCCCCCGCCAGCATCTCAAAGGGACCTTGCAACCTAATTGATGTACACTCGCCCAATCAGAAGCCATGCCAAGAGATGAAATTCCCTGTAAAGGAAATTACTGGCTATTCAAAAAAGAGCAAACAGTTTTCGGCCAAGCATGTTTAAACAAACAAACAAATGAAAATGTGTAAAGTCTATTTTATCACCTTTAAAAAAAAATAATTTCCCTGTAAGAGTATTTTTTACTTTCCAATGTGATATACACTAACATGAAAACACCATTTTAAAGACAAGAACAATGTATAGGGTAGTCAGATTCGAGTCTGGTAACACCTTAGAGACCAAAAAGATCTTTGGGGTATTAACAAGGGATCCTTGAAATCTCATACCCCAAAACTCTTGTTGGTCTCTAAGGTGTTACCGGATGCAAATCAAACAGCTATCCTCTGTATCTAACAGCTGTATCCTCAATACAGCTATCTGAAACTATGTATAGGCTGCAACTCTATAAGCACTTATTTGTGAGCACATCTCATTGAACTCAATGGGATGAAGTGAGAAATCACAGGTTGAACCCAAGAGCACTACTAGAAAAGTGAAGCCGGTAGAGCGAAATTTCCCTCTCTCTTCCCTCTGCTCTAGTCCATGGAGTCTCCCCCTCATCCTGCACCTGGAAGTCAAAGGCCACAGGAACGGGGGGGGGGGCTGAGGTTGGAGCTGGGAATTGGCAAAAAAATTCACACACGCCCTCCACCGACAGAAGTGCATTTCTGCTGGCTTGGAATGGCAGCTCTGGATATCACCGCGGGTTGAGGATTCTAATGCACAGGTTGAGTGTGTCCCCCCACATCTCAATAAATGGGGACTCTTATGTTCTGAGATACAGAAAGAGCTGAAGGCTCACAGCCTAGAGCTTTCCCATTGATTTGCAAGGTGATCGCTGAGATCCCCTGGTGTTCTTTTACACCAAACAGAGGATCTATGTATGTTTATGTATGAAATTATACAGAAGACGAAGAAGAGATTGAATTTATATCCCGCCCTTCACTCAAAGTGGCTTACAAACTCCTTTCCCTTCCCCTCCCCACAACAGGCACCCTGTGAGGTAGGTGGGGCTGAGAGAGCTCTTTCGAGGACTGCTCTTTCAAGAACAGCTCTGGCAGAGCCAGGGGTTATTTCCTGCCGGAGTGCACAGGAGAGGCGCTCCGGCAGTAAAGAGCCCAGGGGGCGGGCATATGCAACAAGCCCCACCCCCTGCTCCCAGCAGCCCTCAGTCAGAGCAAGAAGCAGCCAGGTAA